GAATTTGTACCTATACATAATATATCTTCTTTTTTTTCTTCTTCACACCGCAAGCCAGGAGTCAGGGAGGAAGTACAGATTGCCTCTTCCTTTTTCTGCATTGTGTTCAGTCTCTTCAGTTTTTCTATAGGCTCCAATTCTCTCTTCAGATCCTTCCTGAGTCCCAGGGATCCACCTCCCTCCTCCTTTTCTTCCCCAAGTTGTTATTTTCCAGTGTCTGGATTCTGAATCTTGGAGAGGCCAACTTATTGCTGCTTACCACTCTGCCATCTTTCCAGAAGTTCTACCTACATATAATTTTTGAGCTTTGTATTGGCACATAATTAAGTTACCTGGAAACATTTTAATCTTGTCAAGCCTTGCTTTTAAAGTTAGACAGAAACTGGGTATGGCAGTGCATACCTGAAATCCCAGCACTTGGGAGGCTAGGGCAGGAGGATTGCCAGGAATTTTAGGCTAACTTGGGCCTATATAGTGAGTTCAAGGACAGCCTGGTGTACATAGCAAGACCTTGTCTCAATAAATAAAAATTTAAAAATTAAAAAAAATAATACAGTTAGAGCCAGCTGAGCTCTTAGGGTTAATTTGACCCCATCCTGGATAATAGCCTTCCATGGATCCTGCAGGTGCACCAGCTGCTGCTGGGTAGCTCTCTCCTGGCCCTTGAGATGGGAACTACTCCCAGCCTGTTCTGGGTAGTTCTGCTAGGGTTGCTGGCTGTACACAAAGACTTGAGGGGCACCCACTACACATCAGCAGAGGCCTTTCCCTGTCTTGTACTCTGCAAATTCTAGTTGTCTCAGCTTCCTCACATTCTCACGCTGTTTTCTCAACTCAGAGAGGCTGCAGAGTTGAGTTCCTGTCCTGTGATGTGGCCTGTGCACACTCCAGGTGGGAAACAGGGCTCACATGAATCTTATCTCTGAGAAGTATGTCCTGTATGCCTCTTTTCCAGTGTCTAGAAACTGTTTTCAAACATTTTATCTGGCTTTTAGTTAAGCTAGAAAGGGAAGCCCAGTCCCTGTTGCTATGTCCTGTTCAACAGTGGGACTGGCTGCTTGTTGGAGTCTGCCTGTCTTAGTTTCTCCCCTGTACTCAGTAGGGACCTACTGAGGTGGGCCCTGTCCCCCTGCCTGGGAGGGAGTATCTTTCCCCCATCTAAATCCCCTTGAAGAAATTAGGAAATGCTTTGCCTTCACAGCAAACCACCACTTTTCATTGGCTTTTTTTTTTTTTCTTTTTACGTAATTTACCAGGGTAGAAAATCCTACTCCTAATATCTCAAAAGCCACTGGAGCATCTTTAAGGGTAAACTAATCTTACTGAAAATAGGAAGACACATTACCTGAGGAATAAATACTTGGAACTGGAGAAGGCCCATGATACCCAACTTAGGTTGGAAATCAGTGGTTAGAACCTAAAAACCCGGCCTTGGGGTCTGGGGGAGAACTGTGCCCAGCACCTCAGCCAGGCAGAGGATCTCCCAGAGCATCCAAGGACTGGGCCTGCTGAGCAGGTAGCCACTGCCTGCTGGAAGGAGCTCCGGAGCAGGGCGTGAACCCAGGGGTAGAAGTAGGTGACGGAGGACCATCTGAGCTGTGCTCTCCTTCACCCTGGCCTTAGAAAACAGAAAGCCCTTCCTGCTGTGGGGCACGCACCGGGGTCTCCCAGGGTGCCTGCCCGGGCACACATTGTGCTCACGTGAGGCCAGGACAGGGCCCTGCTGCACGACAGGGAGCTTCCCACCTCCACCAGCTGCGGTCCGTGGTACATTTCGCCCTGTAACTGTGCTCCGAGCTAAGGAGAGCAAGAAAGTACTCTTCCTCTGAACCCTTCAGTGGTCGGGATAATGAATGTTACTCTGGGAGGCAAACGAAGGAAATCAAACTAAAGTAGTTTCGTACCTTTTTAGAATTACTTCTGCACAGTTCAGGTCCTCTCCCCCCATTTTTGGAGAGAATGGGGAAATAAAATCAGTATTTTGAAGCCGTGTAAAGAGTAGTGCAGAAGACCTGGCACACGCCTGTAATCCCAGTGAGTTCAGGGCCAACCTGGGCTACATAGCGAGGCCCTGTCTCCAACACCCCCCTAAAAAAGCCAGCAGCGTCAGTGTGATCAAGAAGGGCAGACTCACTTAGAAAGGATGGGCTGGGTCCGAAAGGGTTGCTACCTGCAAGGCGGGTCCTGGGGCACTGCTGCCGCCGGTTCTGGGCTCCTGCGCATTGCCCTCCCTTCCCACCCTGCAGACGCCACAGCCGCAACCCCCTCGACGGTGGTGGCCTCTTTAACGAGGGGCCCAGAAGGTCCTCAAGCCCCATCGCAGTGGGGAACCCATATCCTAAAGTCAACGAAGAATTAAACACCTTAGGAACAAAGTCGAAACTCCAAACCCCAAGATGCCCAAGATTCTCCTCCTCTGGATTAAACATAAACTGGAGACGGCTCCTTTAAGAAGTTTCTTTGTATACAAAAGCTCTTAGAAAAGTTGTAAACGCCTATAAAAGTGCAGTAGACAATCGGCGAGGGGAGCAAGTGCCCGGCGGCCAGGCTGGATCGCAGCCCGCCCGGGCAGGGCCAACTGGACCATAGGTCCCGGACCCGGACCCGGACCAAGCCCGCCCTTCCTGCTCGCTGGAGAATCTGTGGCCGCGCATCCCCACCCGCTCCGCTCCCAGGAGCTGGGCCACGCTGGTCCTGCTTACTGGGAGCCCCCAGTCAAGGGGGAGGGACGCCCCGCACCAGGCTGCGGGCTGCGGTGGGACCGGGACGGGCGGGAGGAGAGCGGCTGTGCACAGGGCGCCCCGCCCCGGGCGGCCACCTCGCCTCACATAGCGGACAGGCCCGCGCTGCCCAGGGAAGAGTCCGTCTCAAACCTTAAGAGTCTTCCTGCGAGGGCTGGAGCACGGCCGGCAAGGTCTGCTTGCGTGGCTGTCAGGAGGAGAGAAAGCCAAGGACAGAAACCCTAGAGCAGATAGGTCTGTGACCAACTTGAACAAAGCTGTAGTGACTGGGGTGGCGATCCGGGTAAATAGGGCTGAGTTGGGGAGGGCGGGGAGACCGGGCTCTGCAGAAGTGCGTTTGATACAGTGTAAGTGTCACCATCACCTCCTGTTCTACTGGCGTTGGAAAAGCCATTCGTGTGATGTCAGAAGAAATTCAGGTACAGAAAATGCGTTTAGTAGCCTACATGATGGTGCTTGGGGAGCCTTGGTCCTAAAGATACCAAATTGAAGCCAGAGTTCTCCAACTGTTGCTTATTTTGACAAGGAAAATTATTTTTGCCTTCCAATCTGCACTTATGACCTAAGACATTTAAACATTCCCGGTTTAGTTCCTTCACATTTTTATGCAGGCTGTTATGCACTGTGCTTTCAGATGTGGAATAATTTGTGCAGTGGTTTATTCCCCAGTGTATATAGGAACATTAAGCAGAACAAATTTTTTTCTATATAATTCCTTGGCTTAATATATAATGTAAATTTAAGCAAACTTGTATATTTGTAAACTATGAAGTAAAAAAATGAACATTTTGTGGAACTTGTATTTTGCATAGTCAAGGTGAGAAATAAGTTTTACATAAACTTAGTTATTTGATCTGAAATAAAGGATGAAGCTGCTTTAGAAGAACACAAAAGCAGGCAAGAACTCTTAGCACTAAAATCTGGGCATATGAGGAAAGGTCCTTTGGGATTTTGTTAAAGTCCTGACCTGTCCTAGCTGTGCCTCAGGACAACTTACTGTCAGCATGCTTTGGCAGGTAGCCCGGCTCTGCTGCCCAGAACCTTCACAAACCCTCACCTGTCCTCCAGTATTCTTCCAGCTGGAATGGTGGCTGCCACCACCTGCCCCTCACGACTCTATTTATGGTGGTATTTTAAATTATATTCCGGTATCAACATTTTGGGGCAGCATTAGCAGTCTATGGAGGACTTCATACCAGTGTCTCTTTCGCTCAGACAAGGCTTCACACTTCTATGTTATGGAACTAGGGAAGGTAGCTGGTAATTCTAAACTTGGTGTTCTTTCTGCCAGACCGCACTGCTTCCCTGCAGGCTTGGTGAGGGCACTGGAGTCCTAACAGTCACATTTTCTGTTTTGCAACACCTAAGAGCCTGCTGTACCAAGTTGTATTTGTGTGTAGCTGTTTCCCAGAGGCAGCAGGGGGCCCACAGCTGACTGGCGTGTGTCCGGGGTTCTCTCACAGCTCCTAACTTGTAGTTTTCATGTCTGAGGCTTAGATGCAGAGTTTGTTAAACTATAGACTACACAGTAATGCTACATGACCAAATCATCGAAGAGAATTTATATAGTGCTGGCCCAGGATTTAGCTCAGTGGCACCGTGCCTGACTGGCAAGTGCAAGGTCCTGAGTTCCATTCCCAGTACAAAAAGAAATTTATATAGTGCTGGGGATGGAACCCAGGGGCAGGTGCATGTTAAGCAAGTGCTCTACCAGAGCTATGCCCGTGGCCCTTTTCCAGGGTGGGGGTAACCAAATACAGAAACAAAACCCAATTTATCAAATAGTTTAGCACTGATTTCTAAACCCCCACCCTTTTCAGATGGGAAGAAATGACTATAAATTAGATATCTCATTTTCTAGGTGACCAACTTTACAGATGATAAAGCAGTGCTGGTTTCGATAAAGCAGGCACAGTGATGTTGACAGCGGGCAGGAGACCCGGTGGGGCACACTCACTCCAGCAGTGGCCGAGTTCAGTGTGAGGTGGGTGTGAAAGGGAAGCTGACGAAGTCCACCCCTTACCACAGACCAGACTTCCCTTGCTCTGCTGTGCCCCACGCGTCTGTTCGGCAGAGAATGTGCAATACTGTAGTGACTGACTTCCGGACATGCTAATGCAGGGACTGGCCCTACTCACTGTAAACACGTGTGTGTGAGATCTTGGTTTACAGATGGTTTCTGATGTGACCAAAATCATACAGAAAAAGGAGTACATCAGTATCTTACTTAAAAGTCTTTTTTTTTAACTTTTCATAAAGGATTTGCTGTAAGTCTTCAAGTCATCTTGTCCAATCCAAAAGCTGTATTTAAGCGTCGAGGGTCCCAGCCAGGGATGCAAGAATCTGACTTTCTGAAACAGATAACCACCGTGGAAGAACTGGAACCGAAAGCAAGTAACTGCACCAAGGTACTCATGTCACTTGTATGGCTTGGCCCTGAGTGTCGGCACTGAGTGAGGCTACCCAATATTTCCCTCCCCAGGTCCTCGTGTGGCACACGCGGACAGAGAAGGTCAACCTCGCCAATGAGCCCAAGTACCGCCTGGACACAGTGAACATCGAGGTGTAGCGTGTGTGTGCCGGCCAGGGCGGCGGGAGAGCACAAGGGGCTGCAGGACATTCAGGTACTGTTTGCTTTACTCTGCACAGCCGCCTCCCTGTCACCCAAAGGACATCTGCGCACACAGTCCTTCAGCTGACGCAGCTGACTGGGGGCCACAGAGTGTGTCTTGTCCTCACCTGTTCTGCACGTTTTCTCTACAGCTTGACTGGAAGGTTCGTACAGTACCCTAAGTGACACTGCAAAATGCCACTCAAGTGTCTTACACACTTCTTTCCCCATTTGGCCTTATAATCAGTAGAACTGTGAACAGGTTTTAGAAAGTGATGATGAGTATTTTGTCAACTAAACATTTCCAATTCCTGGCTTTGCAACATGAACTCTTGGAAGGTTGGTGGCAAGAATACACTGTATGGGGGGAAAAAACTCACAAAACGGTGTATGGATTCATCTGTTTAATATAGGGAAATAACATTTTGTCAATACTAGGCACCATAAAATGTAAACACAATTACTGTCATAAACCTGGATATACCCTCAAGGATTGAAAGTAGCTTTGTTTTAGTTACCCTGTTAGCATATAGTGCAGAAAAAGGTCTTCATGTTTTAGCACTATGTACATTAGAGATCCAAACTGAAGAGGCAGATAAAATTTGAATTCTTTTAACATTCATTAAGTTCTATAATAACATCCAGGTTTATCTTCCTTTCACTAACCACGTTCCTTGTTAAGCACATCGTAACAATAGCACAGTGAGGTGAATGATAAAATAAAAGGATTTTGATACACTAGAAAACAGTGCTTAGTGATACATTTACATTCTATTTATATGATTAAACATTTGATCATACAGTACCTTCCTACAGATTACTGGCTAATTTGGGGAGGGATTTATACTGTTAGAGGTATTACTAACATACTACTTCCCTTATATGCAAACATTAGAGCTATAATTTTATTGAGACTAAAACTGATTATGCAAGTTGACTGGGCAGCTTCTCAAATAATGTGGCTATGAAATCATGAGAAATATGAGCAGAGCTGCCCTTGACATAAAATGGTTTCTCAACCTGCCTTTCACCACATCAAAATGTAATCAGTACGGACCACCACGGTCGATCAGGTCATTGTTACTACGAACCGTGCGGGGAGAGAGAACAGAATTGTATGTACATGAGTGAACAGGGGAACTAGACGCATTTAGCAAGGAATGTCAGGGGTTCATTCTGCATGGAGCTTCACTGACTTCACTTCCACAGCTGCGTGCTCAGCGTCTGGCCCGACGAGCTCCCGGGCCAGCCCGCCGTGGTGCTGGGGGGCAGGCCGGGGCCCGGCGTGGAGCTGGCGCTGCTGATGCCCATGCCCGCCATCTGCTGGTTCATCTGTGGAGCAAGGAGGCTTAATTAACAGGACGACTCTTAGTTCTTGTTTCTTTAGCCATAGCCGGACATTTTTCCATTAATGTGAAAATTAGTCCAAGCACTGGGATAAAAGCAGATTAACATAAAAGTGTTTCTTTACAGAAAGCAGCATCTACTTTGTTTCCTTCTTGCTATTTTCTTCAAACTTTTAGCACTGTTCATAAAGTAATCTCAATCATATTCTATTTGTCCACTTTCTATATTCAATTTTTTACCCCCAAAGATTAATCACGGTAAAAAACTACCAAAGCAATGTTTTAATCTGTATTTAGGTATATAACTATAAGTCCATTAATCTTTAAACTATATATTAAGATATTGTCCTGTTACTACTAAAGATCAAGAAAGTTTTAGTGAAATACTTTAGAATTATTCTATAAACTTTGTATGATGGCTATAATTCTTTGTCTATGGCTCCATATATGTTCTAGAGCATATATTCTTTTTGTATTTAAACAATACAATAACAGCTAATAATAATTTTCAATATGCTATAAAGTGAAAGATTAATTTGGGGGGAGCGGGACAGGGATTGAACCCTGGGCTCTGCACACACCAGGTAAGCGTTCTGTCACTGAGCTACATCTTCTGCCCTTTTTTAAAAAAATTGTGAGACAGGATCTTGCTAAGTTGCCCAGGCTGGCCTTGAACTCGTGATCCTCCTGCCTGGCTGAGATCAGGAGCATGAGCCACTACCCCCAGCCACACATTATTTTTCTTCCAGAGGAGTTGTTAAGTTGATTCCTAAGCCTCTTGACTTTGTAACTGTCTTTCTTTAAGGCCGGCATTAAGAGAAGGAAAGGCAAGACTGACCAGAAAGTGCAGAGCGAGTTCAAAAGCCATGCACAGGGTAAATGTGTGTTCTATTTGCCACTTTTCAAGGACACTAACATCGCTGATGAAACGCGAGTGTGTGAACGTGCAGTCACGTCTGTCCTCACACCTGTAAAGGGTACCAGCACCAGCCAGGTACTGGGGAAGGGCATCACCCCTCTGCACTGCTGAGCAGGGCCAATGTCTCCTTAACCTGCTCAAGCATCCAGCTACATAAAAGCTCTTCCTGACATTTGGCACTTAATAATTTCAGAGATTTCCAAATGGTACAGGCCAGTATCATATTCCTTTACACCATGATTGCAAAAATATGACTTGGAGCAGTCACTGATAAACAGCGATTCTGCTAATGTTAGAAATCCGGGGCAAGGGAACCCACATCTAGGAGCCTTTGTCAGTGGAGCTGAAGAAAGGCAGAGGAGCGCACCTAAAACAGAAGTGTTACTCTTGGGGTGCTAAACCAACTTAGGTAAAAAAGACAACTTTATCATATGAGGCGATGTCTGAGACACACAGCAACTTGCACACCTTACGGGGATTTTTGAGCCAGTGCGTAATATTTTTAAACATAAAGGTCATCACAGGATACGCAGAAAAGAATTACAACTTTACATGGGTTTCTGAACAAGAAATGCCTACAAATCCAGAGGCAGTAACTCTGATAAGGCTTCTTTCCATAATTACTCTTAAGATTGTGCTTTGAGAATAGGAGGCTGAGTTTTTTCTAACTTGTGAACACTGTCCTAAAAAGACTCCCACGTTATCAGTGAACAGATTGATATAAGTGGTACTCACAAACATGCACCCAAGGAGATGGCTAGCGCCTGATGCTAACCTCAAAGGTGTCAGACAGGGAGTCTCCTGATGCCCAGGATAATTTCTAGCTATTACAAATACATTAGGAATGTCTAACATTACAGTTGTGTTACAGTTTGAAATGGGAAAACCAAAAAAAATTCTTTATAAATAGGGACAATAACAAGTCATTTGTCTTTGTGATTAAAACTTTGTAATATTTATATAACACTTGCCACATGTACCCTTTTGCTAGAGCATTTGATTTCACAACACTAGTCAGAGAACAACAGGGTTTCTCTTGTGTGCTGAAGAGCAAATGGCCCCTACCTGAGAAAGGCCCCACTGGGGCTGCTGCACTGGTGGCAGGCCGAACTTACTCTGGGGCGTCCCCATCTGCCCCACCATTCCTCCTTGGGAGCCACCAGCATTTTGAGGAAGGGGCATCACGCCGGTTTGTGCATTTCCCATGAACCCGTTGGGCATGGGCACGCCCACCATCATGCTTGTGCTTGGACCCATCACATTTCCCAGGAGGCCAGGAGCCGCAGGCACACCCATCGCCGGGAAACCTTGAAATGTGCTTGGTGCTTGTGAGGTAAATGGTATATTTGTGGGTCCCATAAACACACCTGCATCATAAGAACAATGAAGAGAAAAATGAATAAAGAGAATAGGGCTACTGCATGTAGCTGTGCTCACCTCTACAGACACAGAAAAGGGATTATCATCTTCCGGTCTACCCGTGGTAAAAAACTGCATTCCAGCCTCATTTCTCCTACCACTCGGACTAATCTGTATCTAAACCTCCAGGGCTGGATATTTCTAGAATGCCAGAAAATCAATCATTATCCTCAAAAAACTTAATTAGAAAATGTAAGTCTAGGCAGTGTCCAGAGTGTGTTCTGGTGGAGACCAGACTACCCTGGACAGAGCCGTCTACGCTGCTGTGACCAAACAGGAGGGCGCCCCGCCATTTCAGCGCGTGTGTGCGGTGCAGCTCACTATTTCAGAGGAGAGGGTCTGAAAGACTAAAACCCAATAAAGGTTATGCTAGTATTTCATTGTAAGGACTAAAAATTTCAAAGGTTTTGGAACCCATGTGATAACTCAGACTGCTTATTATTTACCTGCAGAAATATACTGTCAAAAACTTCATGTAAATTTCAATAATTCATGTCTTGTATGCTTGTGAGACAATATTAAGTGATATGTGAACAGCTTGTTAATTCTCAATAAAGTTTTGTGAACGTTTCCTTTCTGTTCCATAGCTGTGTAAAGAGCAGTAACAAAAGCAACTGCTGCTATAGGAAAGCAGGGAAGAAACATAGTATTATTATAGTAACAAAGTACTTCTAGTAATGTCACTGTAATTCACTGAAAGCATACTTCAAAATAATTACCAGGAGTGCTTTGCTGCTGAATGGTCCCCGTCCCATACAGAGATAAGATGGAGTCTTTGGAGAGCTGTTTCTTTGCTACTTCTTCTGGTTTTGTAGTTTGCTCAGTGAACAGGTCCAGATCCCCAGATGTGACTGCAGACAGGGCAGCAGCTGCTGGTGCAGAGGGATTCCCCTGAGACAAACACCAGAGCAAGCTGTTCAATTCTGCACAATAAAGCACAGCTCATCTACTACCCTAAATCCAAATAAAGTTAGCAAATTAGGAATTAAGGTAAAGTGGGGACATTCAAGGTGACTGTTCATAAGCCCACTAAAAACATCTAGAGTGAAGTATAATGTTTCTGAGAGACCAAAGCTCTTTCACAGTAAACTGCATTTACCAGCTGGGCTGATGCAGTTTTCTTACTCATCACATTTTTAACACGATGGGTCTACCAGATGCGTGGATATTGCCTGAGGACCACGCCCACTGCTTTGAGGAACTGGTACCCCTTGGAATGAAGAACATTTCTAAACTGGGTGTGGTGGCACATACCTGTAATTTCAGCACTCCGGGAGGCTGAGGGAGGAGGATCGCCAAGTTCAACCCCAACCTTAGTGAGACCTTGTCTCAAAATAAATGGCTGGGGATGTAGCTCAGTGTGAAGGGCCTGGGTTCAATCCCCAGGGGGGTGTGTGGGGGGGATCTACAACTAGCAGACTGCAAGAAGGTCCTACAATGGTTGCTTAAAAGACTTATCTTTTAGGACTGGGGATTTAGCTCAGTGGCATCGTGCCTGCCTCGAAAGCACAAGCTCCTAAGTTTGATCTTGAACCCAGTACCCCCCAAAAAAACCTTTTCAAAAAGTACATTATTGGATTCTTATATATCTCATCTAAGGCAGGTGTTGTGTTTTGTTTTTTGAAACAAGGTTTCAGTTATGTAGTCCACGCTGGGCTTGAAGTTGCTATATTTAAGGTCAAGCTGGCCTCAAATGCCCAATCCCATATGCCACCATACCTGGCTTCTAGGTCAGCTGTAACAATTGAATGAACACATATACACTCAACTATATCCTGCACTCCACTGGAGGTAAATGAACACAAATGTAGCTATTTAATATAAAAGAAGATTTTGTTTAATCTGTTAATCTGTATGTTTTTTTGAGACAGGGTCTCGATGTGTAGTCCAGGCTGGCCTTGAACTCACGGCAATCCTCCTGCTTCAGCCTCCCAAGTGCTGGGATTACAGGCATGCACCACCATGCCTGGCTACTTAATCTGTATCTTGCACACAGTACTGAACACACTGATCTTACCTAATCATCTCTGCAGTCATTAAATGTTTTCAATATGAAGGGTTTTAATGAATTCTATAAAGACTGGTCAAAGCTGCTTAAGAGTCAGGGCCAGGGATTTAGCTCAGTGGTTCCGGTGCCGCCCTTGCAAGTGCAAGGTCCTGAGTTCGATCCCCGGTACCCAAAAGAAAAAAAAAAAAAAAAAGCTGCTTAAGAGTCTTCTCAAACTATACATTAAGATGAGCGGCAAACAAGTTAAACTAAAAAGTAATTCCTTGGTTAGAACACCATGTAATAAATTAACATCCAAACATTCTATTCATAAACCAGACAGAACAATAATTTTCAACATATAGTGGCTAATTAAGAATAATGAGACACCTTGTTTTGTAAAATTTCACAATACCCAATGTAACAGTGCCTTTGCATAGACACCTTAGCTACCAATGAATATACAGATCACAGAAGCTAACAGCATGAGCTGACGCCAGGCAGGTGGGGCTGGAGCCCTGGCTGATGACTACCAGTGTCCCCTTGTGTACACTTCACACTTGCTGAACACAATGCAGGGTCACCTACTTGGTATTTATTTTCATACTGTTAGATGCCAAAGCAACTACATCACTAACTGATCCTTTTCCTCACATTTAATGTCTGTTCATTCTAAGAATTTGTTCAACGCCCTGGGGTCTTTTCCCTGTAGATGTAAGCACAAGAAAACCCAAAGTGGTTGGTGAAACTATAATTCCAATTTCATACATGAGCAGCCCACCATCCCATGACCTGCACACTATGTAAGTTTTTCTGATGAAGGCAGACAGTATGGAACACGGGTGCAGTCTACAGATGACAGCCTGACACAGCACAGCTGTGAGCACTCTGATGTCCATCTGCCATCTACCGCTGGTCTGTTCTGTGACCCGAGGAGGATGACACGGGCCTGTCAGGTCACACTTCAGGGAGCTTCGAGGCCAGCCAAACTTGGCCTTCTACGGTCCAGAGCTGACTCCCAAACAGGCCTCCGCCCTTGTACCGGCCTGTGTGCTATAGGGGTACAGACGACAGGGCGGGAACGGCCGTGTGCGTCCCACTGGGCTCTGGGACCGTCCCTCCCTCCCACCCATCAGTGCGCTCTCCATGCCAGTACTGTCAGCGAGCATTCCTAGGCCTAGACGGGTAAAGCAGACAGTACGATCAACCTATTTCCTACTCACAAGCGGAAAGTCTTTTACTAGAATTTATATATGCTTGAGAATTACCACCAGGAGTCAAAGAATCAAGTTCCGAGTAGTTCATAATCTTGGTGTTCAAACTAGTTTAAGCTCAATTTCATATATTAAATATCCACCAAAATTAGTAAATTATACAGTGTATGTGTAAAATCTGTACTTCATTTTCAAAGGCACTATTTAAAAACTGTGCCTCGATTTTAATCTTTAAATGTAGCCTCTGTTCGTTTGTTGCCCTGCCCCTCCTCATCAGGGCTCTGCACCCTGTCACAGGACCGTGTGTGCAGAAGAGTTAAACAACACCCACACTTGCTGCTACCACAGTGAACAGCACAGTGAGCAGACGCAGAGCAACTCCTGGAACTCAGTGGAACCTCAGATCCTCTTTTTATGTATGTTGCAAAAGGGGGAGAAAGGACAAAGCCATAAAATGAGCTATCTTTGCTGAAAATAAACACTATTACTGCAGGCGAGTTTGACACAGACCCATTTAACTAATTCCCAAGAAACCTGTTTGTGCAATTCTAGAGGTAAATGTACAATAACTGTCGTATCAAAACATGTTTAATGTTATTAGTCTTCTTAATAAGACCCAGACTTTGCTGTATCAAAACTATCTGTATAAATCCAAAACTGATTATAAAGTTTAAATATAAACAGAACCTTACTGTGGCATGCTGAAGAGTAATTTGTACCCTGAAAGTTCCTGTATTTCACCTTTATGAAAATTCCATGTAACGTTAAGACAATTCAAAGTTTCTTCTCCATTAATATTTCAAAAATAATCTTGATCATTAATATTACTGCTCTAGTTCTTTAATCACAAAAAAAGCAAGGGAGGTTTTTAAGCTAATTTAAAACATAATTTAGCTTCAGGAAAAAGAATATACATATTGAATTTGCTAGAACTTCTTACTGCAGTCACAACTAGCAAATACCCATAGTTTAAAAAACTCTGAAGTATGTGACGTTCATTGTAGGTCAGGCTAAAGTAGTCCAAGTTTTTCTCCCTGTTTATCATAAATGAGCAAGCAAAGGTGAGAACTTTAAATATTTTATGCTTTGTGGATCATATGGTCTCTGCTGTAACTTTTCAACTCTGCTTTGGTAGCAATTAAGTAGCCAAAGACAACACTTGAACCAAAGGGAGCAGCTGAGTCCCAATAAAACTTTACCTACTGAAAATGAGAAAATGAGCTGTAGGTGGGCCGGGGATTTAGCTCAGCGGTTCTGCCACCTACCTCACAAGTGCAAGGACCCGAATTCAATCCCCAGTACAAAAAAAAAAAAAAAAAAAGAGCTGCAGGTTTCATTTGCCAAACCTTGGCCTAAAGGAGTTTTTAAAACCAGTGACTTCTCAGAAACAAGTACTTAACAAGAAATAATCAATGGCCAGGAGACCATGCGTTTGCCACATACCTGAGCTGGGGGCATGACAGCTGCAGGCAAAGGGTTAGAAATCATCGGGCCAAAGATGTCCAGGTCATCACCCAGGGCCGGCAGCGCGGCTGTGTTCCCGTTGGTCACTGGTGCCTCGGCAGGGCCATCTGAGAAGAACACCGATTCTTGTCTTAACACAGAATCACTTTCAGGGTCTGTCCCTTTGCCCAATTTTTAATTTTGTTTATTCTCTCAGAAATACTCTTTACCCACCAGTTTCTTGGTGTATACCCACACCCCCTTTTAACAAATGGTACCACATTATTCACAATGTTCTGCGAACTTATTTTTGCAGGTCTCATCTTACCACTTCTAACAACTTTGGAAATAAATTTTGATGACTTGAAATGTCTGAAATGTTGTATTTTAAAGTCAAGAGGGGAAAAAAACAGATTTAACAACATGCTATTTCAATTGATTCTATAGGAAGCATTTTTAAAATTCTAAAATTATTTAAGCAGACACCTTAATGATGGTAGTGCCAAGACATTGAGCTATCTATGGAATGGGACTCGGACACAGCTTCCTACCGAAAAATTCTAATAAAATTGTTTTAAAATTTCAATAATTTAAAAAAGAACTTCACATGTTCTTTTCATGTCAGCAAATAAATAACTGCAACGTGTGAGGAGTGCAAGTTCCCAAGCAGTGTTCTGGGGGATGGAACATCTCACAAAGTTCAGTTTTCTTTGGCCACAACCAAAAAACAGTTCAGAATTCCAATCTCTTGGGACTTGGAGACTAATCAATCTTCAATAAAGAATTTACAATCATACTCTCCTCAAAGATAAATCATTTAAAAAACCTTTTCAACATTAAACGAGTTGCTTTGTGCAAAGTGGATACTCAAATATTTGATAAATTTAATGAAAAATCTTCCGCCCACTACATACATTATTTCCACCACAACCCACAGAAACTCATTGGTTCTTCTCTTTTTCCAAGTATAACTATAGAAATTGTAATCTTTCATTTCCTTACTTAAGCATCAATGAATTACAATCATTTGCATCAGTGAATAAAAGGTTACATTAAAATATTTTTACTTTATTTATATAAAGGCGTTTGAAACCTCAATTAGGTTAATTTGAAAAATAAATGCAAGTAGGGGCTGGGGATTTAGCTCAGTGGCACAGGGCCTGCCTGGCAAGTGCGAGGCCCTGAGTTCGATCCCCAGTACTAAATAAATAAATAAATGCAAAGGAAACTACAATCAAAAGAAGTACAGAAAGGGAAACCTGACCCAGGGATTTAGCTCAGTGGTTCTACCACCTGCCTCAGAAAGGGAAACTGACACGTTGAATAGCTGAATATAAGCAATGAGTTCCAGTTTCTCTGGGTTTTTTTCCTCTTTCAAGCAACAGCAAACACCAACAATTAGGACAAATTTATGAAGAAAAATTTCAACATTAGAAAATACTGACTCATTTTTGGGCAGTGAATGAAGCAAACCTATCAGCTGATTTTTACCACAGAATATAGATCTGTTTCATAGGACATGGCTGTGCAGCATGAGAGAACCACAAGGTTCTTCCACTACACTACATGCAAATTAATTTTCCATTACATTTATAAACTGTACATCTTTCAGAAATTCTAAGTCACTCGCAAGTAGTATACTCCATTCTAAATATTTATTTATACTTTCAAATCTAACTTTTATTTGATATCTATTAATCTATGAAGCATATTAGCATATTATTTCGTTTTTAAAGTCTGATTTTATTCCTCACAGGCTTTACATTTAGCCTTAGGATTAGCCATTAGGACTAATAACTTGTTCAGTGTCCCAGACCTGGAGAAAAGCCTTGGATTGTAATCTCAATTTTTATGACAAAGTACCAACATATTCTAGTGTAGGACTCAAGATGTGTAAAAATGAAGAAACTATAAGTGCCTAGTACCATGAATGCTAATGATGTTTGCACAACAATGTGAATGGACTTAATTACACTGCACACTTCAAATAGTTAAAACAATAAATTTTGTTACATATTTTACTACAGTTTTGAAGCAATATTTACAAGTATACAAAATACCTTCACATAAAATTACATAAGTGTAGGTGATGGGAGAACAGCATTCTGTGATACTGCACAAACCTGTAATAACTTACTCAATTTGTAATACATGGGCACATATGTAGTTTTCTGATTTTCACTGTGACAAAATAAACTGCACACCCATACTGCTTAATATAAATTTTATAAAGTTCATGCACATTTTTTTTTTTTAGGGATTGTGACTTCTGTTTTTGCCACCACACTGAAATGAGTCCATCCTCTGATTTTGTGTTTTAATTACCATGTGAGAACTGGCCTCTGGATGCCTCAGGCTTTCCACACAAACTACTGGGCCCCTGTAACCAACCAGCACAGGTTACAGCACTGTCACTCGTGCCAACTCACAGGATAAGCAGAGGGGCTTCGAAGCCCCTTGGAATGAGGCGGGAACCACCGATTAGGGAGAGCTATCTATGTGGGAGAGCCTGCACCATTTTGAAAGGGCTGAGGAAGGTCGCACTCTGAGATCTGCAGTAGAAACCCCTCCAGGTGCCCAAGGCTTGGTCTCTCCAGGCCCCGGCGCAGGGCATAGAGGCTCCCAGTTCTCACATGATCTCCCCGCCCTCTCTACCGGCCCTCTTCCCCACAAGGCCCCTTCTCGTGGGTTCTGGATTTCACTTCCAGCAAGTTTCCTTATTGCCCCAAAAGCTGCACACCCATAGATTGGTTGAAAAACAAACTCCTAACCTAAATGAAACTTGTCAACCATGTAAAATCAGTAAACGCAAGCTCCCAATGGGTTTTGATATTTACCAGTTTTACTTACATTTGGCTTACTAAATATATTTCTTAAAAATGATTGTTTCAATTCTTTTTGAAGGTCACTGTTTTTTAATTTTAAAAAGGACAGATGAAGACTCATTATTATCATTACCATCATTATCGACATCACATTTATCCTGGATGTTTTTAATTAATGTTTACGTTAGCATTTTTGTCCCCATAGAAGACTGGTGAGCATCTCCTAGGCAGAGAGAACAAGATTTTCCCAGTGTGGCTCACCTGGCTAGGCAGCAGGGCTATGTGAGGACAGAGGCTTCTGACTAGTGCGTTTTCTTCAAACTGTACCTCACCAAAAGCCACCCAGTTACAAGTGTACTTACTTCCAATGTGTAAGGACAACCATCCTCTGAACCCTGGGCAAAGTACCTGCATCCTCCAGTGGGCTCTGCTGAGCAAAGAAGTGAATCTACCCGGTGCTGAGGCTTCGAGCTGCCAGACGGCAGTGCGGACGGGGACCCACAGTCTCCTGATGAGGATGGCACAGGAGTGGAGTAGACACAACTTCTCCAAGCGCCCTTCTTGCTGTTTTGACCAGTGCTCTACAGAACCAGGGGTGCAGCATGGGCTGGGTGGCTGGGCGGTGCAGTAGCCTGTGTGCGCCCACTGCTCTGTTAGCCCCAAGTCCCTCACTCACTACGCTGCACCTGTCCGAGTCACTCTCTGGACTGCTGCTTCCCTCAGTTCAGACGGAAGGAATTCACACAACAAGAAGTCACTTAAAATCCAAAAATTAAAAGTAACTTTTACATAACTTACAATTATTTGTACTAACTTTGAGAAGCAGGGAAATAAACCATCCAAAAATCATTCTTTTTTATCAGCTCCACTCTCCACTGTCTTTTTCTTCTCAAGTTATAGGGAAAAATACAGGTCATCAAGAAACTAGGTATAATCAGCCCTCAAGGAAGGCAATTTCAAATCACTGGGAGTTTAATGCATTCTGGCCAAGGCTCCCATTCACAGCACAATTTTTGCTGACTGAATAAAAGCTCAAGGCCACAAAAGCAACTGAATGTCAAGATAGGAAAAAAAGGTTACAGAGAAGTATTTTAAAAATTGAGAAATAATAAGGCTTATTCAAATCAAATGTTTGAAGCAGGGTAAATCACCCTAATTTTACAAAATACTCGCATGAGCATAGGTTGTGTACTGTCTGTGTGCCTGTGCAGACACAGAGGCACTATGCAGACAATGCAGCCACACAGTATCTCCTCGCAGATGCGGGCTGTCTGTGCATGCTGGTAATCAGAATTCAGACAGGCACTAGAACAGTGCTGGGAGCAGCTAGCAGCAGGACGAGGCAGCATGGACTTTAATCAGCATGCAGAAACCGTAGTTGTTGGATAATAAAAATAGAGATCCAGAAAGAAAACCCTACGGCAAGTAGAAGAAATAGAGCTAGGGACAATTTCATAAAGAACAGTAATGAAGCACAAAGGACCCCTTGAAAAAGCAATGAACAAACAGAAGAAATTAGGACAAAGCATAAAATGAAGAAATAGGGTTTCAATCTTAGAGGCACGGTATCCATTCTACAGTTAGTAGCTTTCCACACTACCTTCAAATTTTAAGCTAGTGTTTAATTTGTGAACTGAGTTAATGACAAATATTTTTAACTGCACCCATACCAGCAATTGGTTTTTGAGCTCCAAAAAAAAGCTGCCCGTGCTACATCTTGTTTGAACATAAGGCATGCTCACACATATCTACTGACCTATTTCACATCATGATGCTGAAAATGCTCAGAAAGTGCCATTCCATGTATGACAGTCCTTATACCCAGTCTCTGTCATCTGGAAGTCCTTAATACAATGACAACTAAGCCTGTCAATTCTATTAACCTTGACTATACCAGAACCCAGCTAAGCACTATTTGGTGCTAAGCACTATTTGGTGTTTTCCTCTTGGCCCACTCCAAGTACCTTTTGGAATTTATAAAGTAAAAGGAATGAGGATATAACACTTCATATTTTAATAAGACATGTTTAAATACTCATATTCATCTAAGGTCTACATGCTAGGATACTCCAGGCAATTCAGCATAAAGAATCTCAATTTAATCTTCTCAGTCAGCTGGGGAATCTGCACAGTAACTTCAACGAGGATTGCAAGTTCACGCACCTGGCAAACAACTCCTCACAGAGTCAGTGTGAGAAACCCTGGCACTCTCAGGCAGAAATAGGTGTCCTACCCTTACTCAGAGTACAGACGGTTAACATGGCTATCTCCCTAACAAAACGCAGAACAGGCACTGACTTTTC